TGTGTGTGTGTGTGCGCGTGTGAGTGTATACTATATCACTGTCATCCCACCCAGATGTGTGTATAACTCCATACTGCACCCAGCTGAGGTGTGCAGACCTCAGATAGAACTGGGTGCTGTGTTTACTGCACTGAGGTACAATAAAGGCTTGTGAGTGCTTAGCTTTCAGAGCGTTTACACACATTTGTCCTGAATACCTCATGATTAGGTTGAATCTGTTCATATAGACTTCACTCATGAACAGCAGGGAGGAAGGAATTATTTCTGCTGCATTCCCTTCGAGTATTTACCATCATAGCTCTAAGACAGGAGCTTGGACTCAACAGACTTTAATTTAATGATAAAAAAAAACATAATTCTTGTCAGATCTTTTATTGTTTGAAATACACACTGATCTGAGTAGTCCTATATGTTGTGTTATTTGACACAGTTATATAACATTTATATAATATTCTCTGAATGTTCAAGTAGAAAGGAGTATGAAGTCTGTAGGTATTGATTATCATGCCTACACTCATAATACCATCCGCCACATACAGAACTAAACTAGGCATACTTCTGGGTGGTTGCACACTTACGTAAATCATATTCTGTGATCTTTTTAGTGTTCAGGCCCAGCGGCTGGGGAAAGAGCTGTAGGTGGATGAATCCCTGGTGGTCTCCTAGATCCTGAACAGGCTGCTTGTTAGTAGAACTGTGTGGTAGCACACCTGAGACTTTAAGTAAAAATGGAGTCCAAAAATCTCTTACTTTTGTTTTCTGGAAGCTATGTGATGATGACTTTATAAGCTAGGTGAAAGGATCACAACTTTAACACCTGCACCTGTGCCTGAGAAATAAGAGCAGTGCATTCAGGCCAGCCATCTCTCAGTGTACTCAAAGCTTAGGAACACTTAGAAGAGTGGTTTAGGTCTTCAGATGTAACCGAAAGGCTTTGACAGCCTGGAGAACTTTCCAAAGATCAGCAGATCAGATTGGGGTTGGGGGGTGAGGTTATATAACTCACGTATTTAAATTATATTAAGGCTTAAATGTATGCATAATTAAGAACATGTTTGCTTTGGGGCGGCTGTTCTGGGTTAGCCGGAAGTCAGCAGAGTCAGGACTGCCAAGATGGCGATGGCCAGAGCTGACCATACTGAGCTTTACAACTGCTCTTCAGAAACCTATGGGTGACATCAAGGAAACTATGTCCATTTTTATTTATACAGTCTATGCCTTCTCCAAGAGTTGGAATAAGCCATGTTGACTGCCCACGGTATTTTACCCATTGTAGTTGCCCTACAACATCCAAGAGAAGTGGATTTTGCAGGGTTCCAGATACAAAGCTGAATACCGATTAGCCGTTCCCCCATTCACATTCTTATGTGATTTCAGCAAAGAGGCCCACGCATGCAATGACCTAAGCTTCATGCTATGGAAGATTAACACAACCCAGCTGAAGTCAGAGCTACCATTGAAGAAACAAGGTAAGAGCATGGTCTCTGCATATAAGACATGTCTCTCAAGAGAAAGATGTACAAGATGGTTTAAGTTACACAGCAGGTGATCAGACGTCACACTGGCTAGTCACAAGTGAGCTCTATGCCTCTGGATGCTGTTGAGTTCTACACAGATAGCCTAGTTGTCCTAGGATATATTAACAACCAGACAAGAAGGTTCTATGCATGTTAGCAACAGAGTGCATATATGGTGGTCTACCAAACCAATCCAGTGGCACTACATCTCCACAAGCCACAGCCCAGCCTACCTAGTGTAGTAAGAATTTGTTACTTTTTAACCGTTGATGTTTAATGCACAATCAAAAGGGGAGATCCATGTAGAAAATTTAAATAAATTAAAATTTAATTGAGAAACTTTCAACAAAGCACATCTCTCTAAATAATGAAAGGTTTGAATGGATGGAAACTAAGGCAAATTATTTTCTAAACAAATATAAATCAGGAAGCCAGGCAAGGGACTAATCTGTCTCTATGTGGTTTCTGTTTCTCCAAATCTGTTCGGTGTAGTCCCATCTCCAAAACCTGTGCCTGCTGCAACATTTATTTTTTATCATTGTTTATATTGGCCTACAGTGTGTTTTCTTACCAGATCTGAACGCAGTAGGGGAAAAAGACAGAAGAGATGCAGAAACTATCTCTCCAGGTTGCGAGCCAGCCAGAGTCTAAACAGCCCAATAGGTTAACATGGGCGCTAAAAGGAAGCTCCTGTGTGTCCTTGGCAACTGGCCACAAAAATGTAGATTCAAATTCTTGGCCTATTCAGTACCAAATTATGATTAAAGTAGCAAAGTAGATTACATAGTATAAAATATACTTAAGTAAAAGTAAATTAGAGGCTTGAAATGATACAATCATAAAAGTATCCCAAAAAAAGACTTACAGTAATGTGAATGGTTGTAATTTGTTACTTCCACCCATGCTTGCAACACATTCTGTGCCTGCAGTCATGCTAAATGAGACAACCTGACTTCAATGATCAATGTTTTTCAGCAAAAAAACCAAAAAATGTCCACATTGAAAAGACATTTACTCATTCTACCTCCTTAAAGATTCCATAATCTATGAATATGCAAACTTAAATGACATTAAATGTTTTATAGGGTGAACATCATGATGATTTTGAGAACCAATACTGGTATAAAAAAAATAAAAAAAAAAAATAAAAAAAGTGCTCTGCTGCCCCCATAGCTTCAGCATCAAGTGAAGATAAGTACAGCCGTAGTGCGCCCTGCAGCCTCGGCACCAGGTGTGGGAGAGCCTGGTGTGCCCCCGACAAATAAATATACTCTCTATGAAAGATGGTTAAATTTGCCAGCTCTGTAAGGGGCCTCATGTGTTTGCATTATGGTGCTGACATGTCTTTTACTAGTCCATTCTCAGTGTATGTACACTGAAGGCTTCAAGTTTCTACATTACACATGTATAAATTGACCAGAGTTGACTTCCAAAGTATTTGTGATGTCCCTTTAAACTGTGTGATGAAGTGGCATCTAGGGTGCCCTTCCAGTGGACAATAGATCGTGAAGTGTCCTACGGGGTGCTTATCCTGACCAAGTAAGCTGTTTCACGATAAATGCATCATAACAGTCCGCAAGCTGGTGCCTTTTTTATTTAGCCCGTGCCGTCAAACAGGCGGAGTCCGCCACTGCACACACACACAGATACGGGGAGGCAGACAGATAGAGAGGGAGAGAGAGAGAGCTCACAGCTGATTTCCTGCAACATCTAGATGGACGACGGAGCAGAACACCGCTCAGCTACCGCCGACAACTTTTCATTACCGCGCGAGGAGGAGCTCGTGTGCATACAGTGGATCTGCGACAGTAAGCTGGTGTCCTGACTGACCTGACACACCGATACAACTGCCGTGTTGCGGTTCATTTAACAGAGCAATTGGACAGAGCCGAGCTTCATTTAAATACGCACTAAAATAATAACTTCTAAAAAAAAAAAAACAGGAACACAGCAGGAAGCGGCTGAGTCGACGGAGCGCGGATAATTTTTTTAACCACATTGTAACATTATTAATCGTTAAACAAAGGGAACAGAAAGACCGAAGGGATGTTGAGAGACTCCGCTTCTCCGGTTGTGGAGCGGCCTGCGCTGGAGGACGTGGCCGAGGAGGAGGACATATTCATCGCGGAGGGAAGCAAGAGCACGCTGGAGCTCGGCAGCTGTCAGGTGGGTGGGTGTGGGGGTGTTCACCGGTCTGTGAAAGTGTGCTTCCTTTTATCTACCTACAGCCAACATAGTCAAAACCCACTTGTCTGAGCTCAGTCAACTTACTTTGGAAAACCAGGAATTTATTTATATTTATTTTAGGTGCCAGGAGAGAAGAAGGTGGAGGGGACAGAGGAGGAGGACGGCCAGCTGTCTCAGATGGAGGCAGAGTTTGTCCAGCTGACCTTCAGGAAGCAGGTGTCCTACAGGTAGGAAACACTACAAACCAACAGAAAAGTGGAATGTGCACCACTTCCTGCTAACCTGTTTTACCAGAATGTTACACTGTAGCTCGTTCCTGACTAGGTTTCCTTGGTGACCATGTTACTGTGTGTCACATGAGGCTGAGCACATGTGTAAAGGTGCTGTCATGTTTATGTGTATTTGCTATTTATTCAAAGTGAAAAGGTTAAAGGTTATAAATACGAAATTAACTTGAATGGAATGAAACAAAATAGAACTCACAAACCGTCTTTGTTAATCTTTCCAACAATGATTTACACTGGTTTAGTCCAAATAAGCCCTTAATTCACTGAGTTAGATTATTAAATAGACACAAAATCGGCTACAATGGATGCCATTAACTTTACATCACATATCATTGAAACATTAACTATAATTAATAACTTCATTCAGAGCAGACAGTAACTAAAAACACTCACCGAAACTGTCTTTCAACTGTCCCAATTCTCACAAACACTGGATTGGTGGAAATAAACCCTTAATTTACACATCTGGTGTTGGATGTCATCAATGGTCACCTTGATCTTTCTCAGTTAATTCACTGACCTCTTGGGACTAGATATTGAATGGGTGCATATCCACACATCTCTTTTGATATGAGCGCTAATTATTTTTTTGCTTTTCTGATGTAATAAGAAGGTGATGCACGTACAGGTATTTGTGATAATGTAATGACATAGCCAGAGCTGTGACAGATGCTTTCACATTTTTTTTACTTTTAGAACCTTGCCAATACAAGACAATTTAAACTGCACTGCTTCTTTTAATTTAAAAACTGATGAAGCAGACTAGATATTGATATGCTAAATTTAATCGGACAGCTGATGTTATCTGTTTCTGGTGTTCATTCAGTCTCTTGTCCAGGCTTCTTGCCTAAAGACTGAATTCACACCGGAAGCGATCAATTGTGTTATCACAAAACCAACATTTTATACTAATGTCAACTAATGTTATCTTTTATCTGAGTTAATTTTTACACCGTTGTACAGTTAATTTTAAGTACTTTTACATAACTAAAAATTCTTTGAAATAACAGCACTTGTACTTGAACAAAGCCTTCTGGTCCTAAGTGTCATCATAGCTTACCATAAAATGATCTGTTGCCAGATCATTGTCAGTGATGTACAATCTTTCACATAAAAACCCTCTGTAAGGATTCAGGAAATTTAGCTGTGTTGTTTTCAAAAGGATTTCCCCTCCATTACCACCAGGTAACACAGGAAGTGGAATCTTCTCACGGCTCTGTATTGGATCCCAGCCAGATATTTTTAAGTCTTTTAACCTCAACAATTAATTTACCAGCAGCTTCTCCAATATGAAGTCAGTTTGTCTAGCAAGCAGTTGAAGGATATAATGTGAAACAGATTTTAGCAACTGTTCCTGCTCTGTTGTTTCAGAACACTTGATTTCTCCATGAATGACATTGCCCAACTGTTGCCTTAGAAACTGTTGGTGTGTTATAGTCTCTAATCTGATTGTAGTCCCTCCTTCCCCGTAAACAGGACGCTCCCTTAACAGCAGCCCTCTCCCTGCTTCCAGCAAACCTGCTGTGTCTGAATGTTATCTATAATTTTTTGTTGTCATAAAATCCTACACAGCTGATGAATACAGAGACTGAATTATTTAGAGTAAGTTAACACCAAGTGCAGCATTGTCTTGCAGACCTGACCTTTTGGTTGAATGTTTTAAGTCCGCTGCCCTTCTGACCACACCCAGGATCACTGAGTGCACTTCTATATCAGTGCAGCGAGTGAAAACTTCAACCACTTTGCAGCTGTAATTGGTAAAATGCTGAAATGTAATATTACAGTGACAGATGCATGACATTTTGTAGTGAAAATTCATTTGAGCATTCAGCGTGTAACTGAAATATAAAGCTACATTTATTCCCATCACAAGGTCTAACCTTTTTTCTGGAGCTTTCAAACACATCTCATGACGTTCATCAATAGATGGAGCTGCACTTGTCATGGTGATGGTTTAGTTGATATCATGTGATCGGTCTGTCTCTATTCAAAAATCATCTCGGGTGTCTGATGTGAATGTCCACCTCCTATGTGTCGCTTTTATGTTTAAACCATCTTCAAAGTGTTGTTGTCTTTTCAATAGACGAGCCTAGCACATAGTATATCTAAGTACAGGAAAGGAGAAAGTTGGCCGAGGTCCTGACCTAATGCACTTTAGGAAGGGTTTATTGTATAGATCTACAACCAATCAGAGCAACAAAAAGGGTATTATAAAAACTGCTTTCTAGCGTGGGATTTGGCGTTGGAGTCACTGTCTGCAGTCCACCCACTTTTAATACTTGGGAAGTGGATTTGTGTCTGATATTGAACTGAATCATGACGAATGCATGCCAAGCACTGGATGTCATCACACATACGTGTGTACGGATTTTCTTTGCCCTACTTAACATGTTTAATTTGTGTTTTCTGGTTTAGTCTTTCAAATGTCACCGGATGTTTTCTATTCTGTATTGGAGGTCAGAAAGAAAGATACAGTGAAGCCATTCATCAGCCAGCTTCTTATGCCAGTGCCAGCATGAGACATAATCTCAACATAATTTAGTATAATCAGTAATCCAGATGGGATTGTGTGTGTGTGTGTGGTGTGTGTGTTGGTGTGGTTGTGTGAGTGGCGGGCGTGCTGGCATGGCTGTCAGTTCGTCCTGATACCAGATGAGTTGTGTTTGAGATCGTGGGTATCTGTGGGTGGGTCATCCGTGCAAACACTGTGGTGTTGAGTGTCTGATGTATTGCCTTTTTCAGGACAGGAATAGTATAATAATTAATATTTAAAATTCTACAGCTGTCACAGCTTCAAATCAAGTCCTAACACATTTTTGAACTTAAAGCACATAAATTTGTCTGAATGAATTCAAACGGAACCCAGTGCATTTTCTTATTCCTCTAAATACGTATAGTTTGGGATTAATGATTCTGGCTGTGGTGCAGAGGCAGAGCGGTCATGCTTGTGCCCTATATCGGAAGGGTTTTGGTAGAGCGGGTCGTCCCCTATCGGGAGAAGTTGTTGGTTTCGCAAGCCCCGCTCCCTGCGCCACTCATGTCAAGTTTTCATCCTTTAAAATGTCATGGTGAGGTACTGATATTGTTTGAAGTGTGACCTGCTTATTCTAGCGAATTGGCTTTCCCAATGTCTGTTTGTCATGTGTTGTGTTGTTAGTGTTATTTGTTTATGTGTTCTGTGTAGGGCTTGCCATCGCGCGTTTTTTTCTTTTTTTTTTTTTTTTTTGTTTTTTTTTTTTTTTTGTTGTATTAGTGGATAAGGGCGAATGTGTGGCGATGGTTTTAGTTGTAAAAGCACTTTGAGAGTACGGAATTAATTTAGCTAACAGCAGGTCCCATTTGTTTTATCCATTAACCATTCTTTTTGGTGTGCCTCCTGGCTTTGTCTGTGTGACAAGCTACACTTCTGTAAGTCAAGCAAACACATTTTTAAAGATCGATTGATTTTTCTATCTGTTTTGAATCCACAATTTTGTATCCACTCAGCATCAATGTATGCTAGTTTTCAATTTCAATTAGCTTTGGAAAAACATCAAGTTACCACGTGCACCAAAACTAATCATGATAAAATCACCCTACTAATATCGCACTAAATCAGTTTGAGCCATAACACTTAAAGTGGCTTCTCCATTAGCATTTTTTTGGCTCCTTCAGATTCTATCCTATACTCTTTTATAGTCAAACCATTTCACTAGTTAAAGTTTTGTTCCGAGTTTGTTGCCATATATTTTTTGTTTCCGAGCATGGATTACTCTCTCTCTGGGATACTAAGTCAAACGTGGTTTTCCGAACTGGCCTCTAAGTCGGCAGTTTTGTGGTTTGTTGATTTGTCTCATCCGACTGTGGGCAAGTATCGGGACAGGTCCCCTTGTCCCCTTCAGGAAAAACCACCATCAGGGAGTGCTTCGCAGTTTCCGAGACTCTCAACTCCTTTCTGTACAGCGAGACCAGAAATCAGAATATATTTTTAAAAGTCCTTTTCGAATGAAGGTTCAATTCAAAAACAGTCCAATGTTTCTTAGTCATCTCCTAGTTGTTCAGGCTCTCAAAGTAGCTTTGGGTTCGTGTCCTTAATAAGGTGCTCAATCCAGATCTGCTGTTTAGTTTGAAGGTTAATTTCTCTCCTGCGTCCCTGGTTTGTACTTTTGGGAGAGTAATCTCTGCGTCTTCATTTACTCCGCTAAGAACTCATGTACACTTCATCTTGTATAGGCACGGTTGGTCTACAGTTACTTTCCGGTATACATGAGATAAGCCAACATTCTTTCCATCTTGGCTGCTCATAAATTTAAAGCGTTTAAAAAAACAAAACTACTCTGGATTACTTTTATTGTGAAGAAATTTTTATGGGAAGTAAATGGTTTATCACTATTTTTTTTTTTTTTTTTTTTTTTTTTTTTTTTTTTTTTTCTTTTTTTTTAATTTTTTTTTTTGTTTCTTTCTTACCTGTTATTTGGTGTTTCAGCCCCCAAGGCATAAACCTGTCATATATTTAGTGGAATTCTGTTTGTTTTATTTTTTTTCGTCGGTGTTTTAATTTTTTTGTATATATTATTTTGTTGAAATCTAATGGATAGATTTGAATAAAAATGCTTGTAAATATTAATACTGGTTCTTCCCACTTCGTCTGGTAGGCATTCAATTCTTTGTAAGGCTCTTCTTGACTCAGTCTACACGCTTCTCTATAGCCTGTTGATAAAATCCCTTGACACTTTTTTCTGTATTCTCTTACCGCAGGTATGAACCGCTCCTTGTTTGTCGTTATTGTGACAGCATCCCTACACACACACTGCCCTTAATGATCATATATATCTATTTATATACTAAGGACCTGTCTTGACACCTATAAGCTAGTCTCTGAGTAGAATGCAAGCTCGTAGCAAGAGCTGCAACCACATGACCTTCTTATGTACAGCGACGTATCACTTCTAGACATTCAC